ATGATGGATGGATGGATGATGGAGGATGGATGGATGGATGGATGGATGGATGGATGGAAGGATGGATGGATGGATGGATGATGGATGGATGGATGGATGGATGGATGATGGATGAATGGATGGATGGATGGATGATGGATGATGGATGGATGGATGGATGATGGATGGATGGATGGATGATGGAGGATGGATGGATGGATGGATGGATGGATGGATGATGGAGGATGGATGGATGATGGATGGATGATGGAGGATGGATGGATGGATGGATGGATGATGGATGGATGGATGGATGGATGGATGGATGGATGGATGGATGGATGGATGGATGGACGGACGGACTGCTGGATGCACTCATGCTGTTCCAGGAGGCGCGGCCGCCCTTCAGTACCACGGCCAGCGCCCGGCGCGTCTTCCCGCAGGTTCAGGAGCGGTGGATCCCATCCTCCGGCCATCCCAGGATAACGCTGCTCTGAGCAGGATGTAGGGCCAGAGCTCCTATGTGCTCGTGGGGTTGTGCAAGAGAGAAAGAGTTTGCGTTCTAAAGGAAAAAAAAAAGAAAAAAAGAAAAAAAAAGAAAAAAAGAAGAGAGAGGAGAAGAATTAGAGGTTTGCTGCCACTGTAAGAGCTCCAAACAACCAAGTAATTAACTCTATCTAAACCTTGAGATTAAAATTCAATCCAGGACCCTTTGTCTACTGTTCCCTGAGCCTTCTCGGGCAAATTCAAGAGAATTACATCTCGGGTTATTTTAATGTCAAAGAATTTCATAAGAAGACATGGGAATTGTTTCCCTTTCCAACAGTGTTGATGCATTGCCCTGTTTATTCCCCAGCTGGTGTTTTTAGTACTTCTCAGGGATATATCAAAGTTTATGCAGTATGTGTAACTCGGAGGAGATGGAAAAGACATTGACAATATTAATTGTTTCATAAATAGCGGCAGATAGGATATGCTTTTTATACCCTTGGTTTAAACCCTGTTAGTGAAAAACCAATACCCTGCCATTTGTTTATACTTTTCTTGGCGTACAAGGCAGATATATTAGCGAGAATGAAGCCAATAAAAGGTTACAGGCAGCCTTTTCCACTCTCAACTTTTAGGCATGGCCCCTTTTTCAAAAGAAAACTGTCTTTTATTTTGGAACATTATAACCATTCCACCTGTCTGTAAAAATGTATGAAGAACCAGAAATTACAAAGGACCAAATAGAAAGGACCCTTTCCTTTTAGGTGAGCACTTCTTCACACAAGCAATTCCACAGGCTGCACCATGAGCAATTCCATGCCTCCACAAGTGCCTGCTGAGGCAGAGGGATGAAGGGCTCCACCAGTCAGCCCAGCAAAGCTGCCTCAGAGAAAAGGGCTCAGCATGGGGAAAAAAACCCCAAAAAAACCCTCTTTTCTTCAGTGTCTTTATTTGGATCCAAGAATTTTATCACAGAACAAGTCCTCGGGGTCGGAAGAGGAACTGCAAACAATCCCAAAGGCAGCACATGACTGATAGCTGCAGACAAGGAAAACACTCTGCAAATTAATTATTGGGGGTCTTGCAAAAGTTTTTAATCTGAGCAATGGTAAAAGAGACTCCTGAAAGAAATCATTTGCACTGCAAGTATTTTATTCCTTGCATTCTTTTTATTTCCTTTATTCAGCGTTTTAGTCCCTGCAGGATGGGACAAGAAAGTAGGTTACAGAGGGTTAACCTGGTAGGGTGTGGTGGGTTTGCCTCTGCTTTCATTTTAAAATATTTTAATCATGTTCTGTGCAGTGTCACATGCAAAAGAAATACAACCCTTGCACATCTTTAAACAAGAGTTTCAATGCTGTCGTGTTCTGCTATATTAATATTACAGTTTTGGAAGATATGTAGCATAGCAGCAACTAACAGGGGGCTGGAACATTGGAAATCGAGACAGGAAAGAAGGAGGAAACTGCCATTCCATATTCCTGGAAATTCCATAGGAATTCATGAAAATGTGCTGTGCATGGTTTTTTTGATAGCATGAAATGGCCCCGCTGCAATCTGGAGTCCCTTCTGCAGGATGCCAAGGGCAGCAGTTATCCTAAAGGATAGGCACTCCTGGGTTTTCCCTTGATCTGTGCACAAGGAATGGGAAGCTTGATGTCCTGCTCTTCAGAGCACCTCTGCATGGATCATATCCTACAACTTCAGGAACTTTATGTGCAGAATCAAAGGTCAGGTCCTGTGGCAAAGCCATAAAATTCCCTTCTAGAGGGAACACCAAAGCATGGTCCTTTCTCCATTTCAGCTGCAGAGGGGAAGAGGCTTTGCTCAGCAATCACTTTTATTCCAGCCCTATTTGTTGCTCAGATTACAATAAATCAGGAGTATCTGACTTCTTCAGCATCCCTCAGGCCCAGAAGGTTTTTGGGAACATGTTCCAGAAAAGTAGAATCCTGCTGAAAAGCAGAGAAAGAAAAGCCATAGGCAGAGGTACCTGTGGAGGCACAGAGAATCAAAGCCAGGCAGAGATCAGATTTTTTTATTTTCCTCCCAGGCAGAGCCTCTGCACACCCAGACTTCAGCAACACCTGGAGAGGACTGTCAGATACCTACAGAGGTGAGAAAGCAGTAAGAGTAAAGAAAGCAGTAGGAGTGACAAAAGCAGTAAGAATACATTCTGTCTGGAAGGGACTCCCACTTGTTGCCCACAGCTGATTTTAGCTCAGCCCTGTGATGTGTGTAATGCTGTATTTGGGACAAGATGAGAAGGAACCACCTTGAGCAGAGTCCTCCACCCTGAATCCTCCTGTGAGTTGGTCAGACAGAGGGAAGAGCACTGGGGTAATGAAAAGTACATTTTAAAGAGCCATGTTTCACCCCTTTTCCAGCACAACTTTTCCCAGTTGCTCTGGAAGACCAACAGAGACGACAAGGGAGAATTTATCTCCCTCAGTGCAAAAGCAGATGTGACAACTGGGGACTCTGTGAGAAGCCTTTGCCTAAGTCACATTAATCTCACTGTAAAACTCCAGATTTAGAGAGCCCAGTGCAGCCCACCCATGGCATCAAGGCTGACCCAGCACCACCCTTTTGCCACTCACCACATCTGCTGAGCTGATCTGAAACGCCACAACCAAATCCCACTTCCAGCAACACACGTGCTTCGCCTTGCTCCTCAACCTGCAAATTCTAATGACTTGCAATTAAATCAAAGCCTTCGGCTCCTAGGGCAGGCAGCAGGATTATGACTCACGTACTGTGGGAACTAATGATGATCCAAAAAGCAAACGGAGGTGGGCAGTGAAGGAGAAATCACTTATGCAAATAGAAATATTTTCAATAATGATCAACACCATGAGAAAGAATATAGGAAAAATTACATTAGGCAGAGGAGCTTCATTTTTAAAATGTTCCCTAAGTGCTAGAAATCTTCCCATCTTCATTTTTCCCTTTAAACTCTGTCATTTGTACAGCCTATTAACCTTTAACTTTATGACTATCCTAACGTGAAATACTGGCAGCATTTAAGTCTGAGAATACTAGAGAGCTACCTTCCTGGTTGGCAACAGAGGTGAAGCACTTTCTTTTAAATCAGTCATTTTTAATATCAGTCATATATACACAGCAACAGAGACACTATTTTTAGATTCACGTGCAGGTGTTATTTATAATAAATGCTCCACAGACCCCAGTTAGCTTCCCTCAGAGATCTTACAGAGTCCTACTTCTCTGTCCTCTCTCAGCTCATCTCCCTATTTGTAGTCTTCAATTCTGCTCAAAAGTAGAGGAGAAAATGAAATCAAATTGCTTCCTTCAAGCTCTCTCTGTCCTGCTCTTAGGAAAGACAATGTAAAACTAATTATTTGTGTTTACAAGAGTTGCTGAGGAGTGGAGGTGAGGCTGGAACTTCACGATGTGAGGTGCTGAACCGCTGTTTTCCAGCTATTTCTGCCCTGCAGACCCAGAGGAGGGGTGATTGAGTGACTCCCAAAAGGTGGTGAAGAAGAGTGGCCCGTGGGGTGGAGATGCTGGGGCTGTATCGATTCCACCTGTGGCAGATAGAGAAGAGTTTGTGATGTTTTAATTGTTACCATTAGTTCAAACCACAGGAGTGACAAGGGCTGCTCAGACCTGAGGACAGGAGCCTCTGTTGTTTGTAGCTAAATCTCAGTGATTAAACAGCACCCAGGGATGATCTTTTGGGATCCTGCTGGGTCTTCTCTCTATCAGTGAGTGCATTCCTCGAGGGCTGGGCATGGCCCTGCCGTGGGGCATCACTGTGGCCTGGGAGAGCTTCCAAAAAGAGCTTCCAGTTGGAATGAGCAGCCAAAGCTGTTACACTGATGGCTGAGGAAACATTGCCTCAGAGCTGAACTGCCAGAATTTATTGACACAAAGCCTTTCCCTTTCCTCTTGCTCTTTCAGACTCAGCAAACCTTTGAGAAGCTCAGCAGGAAGTCCTGGAGCAGCACTTAAAAGCCAGTTTTCCAGGCAGGAGACAGTGCCTCTCTCCTTAATCAGAAAATATCCAGCCCTGAGGAGCAGGGCCAGGACCACAGTGGCCCTGGCTGCCCAGCCCTTCCCTGCACACCCCAGGGTGGGCAGCAGGGAGCCCAGGGCTGCACAATTGTCCCTCTCTGTCACCTCCAAGGCACGGTGCTCCCTTCCTGAGTCAGGGACATGGGCAGGGGACTGTGAGCAGTGCTAGTGCTGGTGTGTTCCTGCTGTGACACAGGTTTGAACCAGGAAATTTTACTGCATTGCAAACTCTCATCTGAGCTTCCACTCTCTTTGGGAATTTTCTGCTCTCAGCACTGCTCCCCTGAACCTGAAAAAGGTCTGGCTTCTTCCCCCCTCTCACTGAAACTGCAATCTTGCTTTTGGGCAGAAATGATCAGACATCAGCCCAGGCTGAGCAGGAGCTCTGGAAGGATTTTTTGGCCATGGATCAAATTAAACCAGGGAAAATAAATATGTGAGACAACTAAAGATGTGAGCAAGTCTTGGTGGAGGAGGAAATCCAGAAAAATCCAGGAAATCCAGAGCTGAGCTTGCTCTTACATCCTATGTGTGCCCTGTTCTACAGTTCTCCAGCCTGTCCTTTCTCCTCCTTTGAGGGCATTTCTGAGGTGGCAGAGGAAGCAGAGGGAATTTATGTTTATGTTGGTGTCTAGATTTTCCAGCAGACTCTGCCCAAAGTTCAGCACACAGCAGGGCACAGGGCTTCCCTCAGGTGACAGCACAGGTCCTGCAGGGACAGCTGGCACGTGCCACCACAGCCAGCACTGCCAGCACACCCCTGTCACCTCCTGCTCTCACCAGGGACCTGAGGAAAACCCCCAAAACTTCAGCAGGATTCAGCCAGCTCACCGTGGAGCTGCTGCTCTAAACTCCAGCTGGGTTTTTAGAGACACGTTTACTTTAGGCGCGCTCTTGGGCCCTATTGATTTTAATGCAACAATCATATGTTTAAAACTTAGCATGTGTT